GGTGCCAAGAGCTGCTACGTTTGGGGAAACTGAGGCACGGATGGGGCAGCAACCCCCCCCCTTGTTATAGGGTGGGTTTGTGGGGCAGGCGGTGCAAAGCCCAGGGGGCTGCGGGGACGGGGCTGGGGTGTGATGAGGTTTGCAAGGGCTCTGCCGTGGGAAAGCGCTGGCTGCTGGGGGAGGTTGGGCTGAGTGAACCAGAACCTGTTCGCCCGGGACACGTCACCTGGAGCAGAGCCTGGCACAGAGCCCCAGCCGAGGGGATTAACCCCTGCCAGAACCCCCCCAACCCTTCTCCCACCCCCCCCCTCCCCATGCCCATCGTGGCATCTTGCAGAAGCCAATGTGGCTGCTGCTTTTGGCCCCACCGAGGACTGGGCCAGCGGCCCCGGCAGGTTGTAATTTGCTCGGCAGGTCCTGGCTGAGCTGGGGGGGGCCCCCGGCGGTGTCGGGGAGCCCAGCCGGTTCCCGGGGGGGAGGCCAGCGAGGGGCCCCGACGCTTGGCCACCGCCTGGCCCCGAGCACTCCCAGCCTGGGAACCAGCCCCAGACCTGTAATTAGCCAAACCGGGGCCGGCCGACGTGAAAAACGAGCCCAGGGCTCTCACTGGCCCTTGACCTGGCAGTTTGGGGACACAAGCAGCCCAGGCTGGTTAAACTGGGGGGGGAATGGGGATGAGGTGGGACCTGGGGGGTGACAGGTCTGTCCTTACTGCTTCTCGGGGCCCATGGGTGGCGGGAGGACGATGGGGCTCCTGTTGGTCTCCCAGGAGTTAAGCGATTTCGACAGCACCCAAAATTGCAGCCTGGCTGGGCCGTGTAGGAGGACGAGGTGACAGGTCTGCCCTTACTGCTTCTCGGGGCCCCCATGGGTGGCGGGAGGACGATGGGGCTCCTGTCGGTCTCCCAGGAGTTAAGCGATTTCGACAGCACCCAAAATTGCAGCCTGGCTGGGCCGTGTAGGAGGACGAGGCTCCCCGGCCTCCCAGCCGGTCCAGCAGCTTTTTGGGGATGGGAGGGAGGCCCCCATAACACCTCCCTTGTGTTATGTGCTGCTGGGGAGCATGGGGTGCTCCCTGGAGTCCTCCCTGACCCCCTGTTTCACTTAGGGTGGTGGGATCCAGATGGAGGGGACCAGGGAGGTGTCAGGACACCCCAACCCCATCTCCATCCCTGTCCCCTGGCTGGGACATGCTGGAGGATGCTCTCAGCATCCCTGATGCCACACAGGAGGGGCTGCACAACAAAGCTCTCAAATATATGTGTTTTAGTGTCTTTAACAAAGGGACATGGGTGTCCCAGGGCCAGGGAGTGTCCCCCACCCCAGAGCCACCTTCAGGATCCTGGCTGCTCCCACCCTGGCTAGCAGCCATGGGGTTAAGGCTACTAAAACACATCTCTGAGGGTAAGTGGGGGCTGCTGCCCCTAGCCCTGCTGTCTGCAAAAGGCTCTGCCCATCCCAGGTGGGGCTGGAGGGCTGTGGGACCCACAGCTGGGCTTTGTCCCTTGTCCCCAGCTCTTACAACCTCCCTGCAGGGCTTTGTTCCCCGGGGCCAGGGCTGGCTGGCTCCTGGTTGCCTGGCTGGGCCAGCTGAGGCTGAGCCACCACCAGCACCTCCCTCCCCGCTGCTGCAGCACCCAAGGGAGGTGGGGCTCACTGGCTGTCACCCTGGGGTGCTGCCAGGCTTCCTCTGGGTGCCCCCCTGGGTGCCCTGGGGTCCCTTGGGGGTGGTGGGGTGTGTGTGCTTGTGTTATTTTTTGGGAGAGGCTTTTCATACCCCCACAGAAGGCACCACGTGATGGGGAAAGTTGGAGCAGGAGCCCCACGATGGAGCCAGCAGCCCCCCAGCCTCTCCTGGAGGGGTGACACGAGCCCCATCCTCTGGATTTTGGCCCATCTCGTCTGTCCCACAGCCCTGGTGAGACCCAGGATGGGAACAAGTCCTGTCTAGGGGCTGGGGGCTACCAAAGAGCCCCGGGCTGGGGGCTACCAAAGAGCCTGGGTTGGGGGCTACCAAAGAGCCCCGGGCTGGGGGCTACCAAAGAGCCTGGGTTGGGGGGCTACCAAAGGGCCCCAGGCTGGGGGCTAACAAAGAACCTGGGTTGGGGGCTACCAAAGGGCCCCGGGCTGGGGGCTACCAAAGAGCTCTGACTGGGGGCTGGTGGCTACTGGAAACTCTCACCATTTCATCCCAGTACCCACACTTGCATGCAGCTGGCTGACCTGGCCTGATGTTTTGGGCTATGGAGAGGGACCCTGCAGTTGCCACTGAGGTGCCACTTTGCCAGGTGGGACATGAACCACGGCTCCAGCACAGTGGGGTGGCCACAAGGCAGGGGTTGGAAGCGATGGAAGGGACACAGCAAACTCCAGCTCAGTGGCTGCCACCGAAGCCCAAACCCCTCCATCCCCCCAAAAAATGACCTGCCACGTTCACTCTGGCCCCAGGAGGTCCCAGGGGTGGTCAGGGTGGGCTCAGCCTCTCCCGGTGCCGGGTTTGGAGGGGCCGGGGCAGGTAGGACCAGCTCGGCAGAAAGCCTGCCCCCCCCTCGAGGGATGTGCCTCAATTGGGGTGACTAATCCTGGCCCTTCGCCCCGGGTTGATTGCTCAACGGGAGCGACAGGAGCCAGAGTGTCACCTCCCTCAGCCCCGGGAGCCTTGGCGAGGCCGTCCCCTCCCAACCTGGGGACATGTGGGTGCAGGAGCCGCCTGGATCTCACACCCCGGGTCCCCAGTCATCCCTGCCCTTTCCAGAGCCATTTTCTCCTTCACCCTGACCAGGAGCAGCAGCCAGTACCGTCCCTGCTGAGCTGCAGTTCCCAGTTCAGCTCCTCCTCTCCAAATCTGGGGTGAGAAGAGCCCCTTGGTGTGAAAACGCTGCACTTTTCAGGCTGCAGCTCTTTTAGCCCTTGGCATTTCTTGGCTCGGACAGGGCAGAGGTTCCCTGAGCTTCAGAGATCTCTATCACCTTTGGTATCCATCTTAGCGCAGCAAAATACCACCTGAGTATTAAAATAAAATAAAAGAAAAAAGCCAAACAGCCATAAAAGCTTTGACAGCTCCAGCTTGACCTGCCAATACCCTCTTAAGCCACCAAATCACTCAAAACCATGAAAAAAGCCACCATAAAATTCACATTTTTATGACCGTGACTTCCATCCCCATTCGGGAATGGCAGGGCTCAAAGCCCACAGGGACAGCCCAGGAGGCAAGGATGGAGTTTCAGCTTCAGTTATGGTTTGATCAGCTCCCAGACCTTCAGCCCCAGAGAGCACTGAAATGTGGGCGTGGGGTTTCAGCCAGAAATACCCAGGGAAGCCCTTGGATTTTCGGGAAAAGAACTCAGGCACTGACAGCAGAGAGAAATTTAACTTTTATATTCAAAATGTTGGTGTAGTCTTTCATCAGGAGCTGATCTGGTTAAAGCCTAAGAGTGTGTGTGTGCTCACATGGAAGTGTGTGCCTTCTCCCCCTGGAGCTCCTCCTTGTCTCCAAACCCTGGCCACAAAGCTGGGAGAAACAGGAAAATTTAGCTTTAATTCCCTGCCAGGCTGCGGTCCCTGCCAAACAAGACCCTGCTCATGTTTAGGTTCAGGGAGGGGGTGGTCTGTCATCACCCTGCTGAGGGACAAAGCGTCCTGAGAGAAAGAGCTGCCTTATTTTATGCCAGGTCTTGGGCAAGACACAATGCTGAGTCTGCACAGGGAGCTGGGAGTCTCTCCTGCTCCCATCTCGGCTGCTGGAAGGTTCTTGGAGGGTGCTCCATGTGAAGGTTTTTGGAGGTTGCTCCCTGTGAAGGTTTTTGGAGGGTGCTCCCTGTGAAGGTTCTTGGAGGGTGCTCCATGTGAAGGTTCCTGGAGGATGCTCCACGTGGACACTTCATTTTTCATCACCCACCTCGCTTTTCATCACCCTGACCTTCCCATTTCATCACACTGATGGTCCTGAGCTGCTGCGGGTGGTGGGGCTGCAGAGGTGACACTCAAGTGGCCATCACCATCCAGGGAGGGAATAACATGGGAAGGAAACCCCAGGATTTAGGATCTGGAGGAAAAAAAAAAAAAAAAAAGGTGGATGAGGGCAGAAAAGCTGCTGGGAAAGGCCCTACATGCAAACGAGGTGCTCCAGCCTCCCGCTGAGTCACACAGGGTCTTTCTTAATCAAAAAGCCTCCAAAAGCCGAGCTTGCAGTTTGGGTGCTCGCTGGGTGCTCCCCAAACCCAAGGGAGCACGAGGAGTGACCTGCTTTCCCGTCCCACAAGTCGCTGGGGCCTCGCTCCCTGCAGCAAACGCCGTCTCTGTTCTGAGGTAGATCACAAGAGGGACAGGACGTCGCGAACGCGGAGCCTTTCCTGCCAAGTACACGACGCAGCAGCTCCCCGTCACGTTCCCACCAGAGGCTTTTTAGCCCCCGGGGCTTTGTAGCACTCTGGGTTTTTATTTATTCAGGTTCAGCAAACACACAAGATGAAAGCGAGACGAAGGAGTGTTTTATTAAGAAAGAGTCCATCATTATTTAAAAACAAACAAAACAAAAAAACAACAAAAAAAGAAAAACAACCGTGATTCTGTCCTCCTTGAGACAGATTGGAGGCTTCTCAAGGCTGGATACTCCTCTGAGCACGAGGAGGCCCAGGCACGTTCCTCCTACGCAGGAAACCCAGAACTTTTGTCTCAAGTCTCACTGCACGAGACAGCTCCAACTCATTTTTCTTTCTCTGGATCTACCTTGGTCGATGAGACAGCTCCAACTCATTTTTCCTTCTCTGGATCTACCTTGGTCACGATGGGGAGAAGGAGACTTGGCAAAAAAGTCAGTCTCCCGATGGGCAGAAGGAGACTTGGCAAAAAAGTCAGTCTCCTTTTCCTTGCTTCTCTTCTCTCACTACCCGTGTCCTTTACCTTTGCTCCTGAGGAAAGACCTGGCCTGGCTTGGTCTCCCCCATCATCTTTCTGCAAAAACACCACTCTGTGGTGAAGCAGACGAAGCCAAACTCTCACAGGGAGAGGGTCCAGCAGCCAGAGCTCTGCCTGGAAAGGCTTTCACTTGGTCTGAGTCACGGAGATCCCTTAAGCTCCTGGTAGGAAAAGGAGAGGTGTCAAAAGCGAGAGGCGGCGGTGGAAGAGGTGGGTGTGTTACAGATCCATCACTTCTTCCTCCACGGCTTTGTCCTGAGATTGCACATACTTCTCCTGCACTGCAAGCGTGCTGATAACGCAGTAATTAAGGAAAACAAGGGGCTGGGCTCAAACACTCCCTTCTGCAAGGAGCTCTAAACGTTCCCAGCGAGGAACCAGCCCCACATTATAGCCTGAAGGCTGGCAGGAAGATGGCAGCACTGGCAGATCACCTGAGTTATTCCTGGCTCCGGCTGATCCCAGACCCAAGAAGGACAGGAGAATCAATTGTGTGGTTTGGACGAGGTGGAATGAACCAGTCCAAGAGAGTGTGAGAGCGAGGAAAGTCATCAAAAGATTCCTCCCACATTCACAGTATCAATTAGCAACAAATGTGGTGGCTTTGGTGAGGACAACTGTCTGCTAAGGTCTGGGCTGAGCCCTTCTCACCACACGGGTATCACCCAACAGCACCAGATGATGTTAGTAACAACCCAGGCCTGCAAACTGCCCTCCCCACCTCCAGCCTCTCTTCCCCAAGGAAGGAGGAATTAAAACTCAATATAAGAGAGGATTGTGGAGAAGGATACGAGGTGAAGTGGAAATCAGCTCCCACTGCTGCCGACATCAGAGCTTCCAGGCTCCTCTGCTCCTGGTCTCCGAAGGAATAGCCGTTGGCTTTGTCCACCGCCTGCATCACCCGCCGCATGCTCTCCTTATCCTGAAAGGGAGGGAGATGACACACAGGGAAATCCTGTCCTTCCCCGGAGGCAGGAGCTCATGCTGGGCTTCACCATGGATTTTCTCCGAGGCTCTGGGCCACCCACGCAGAGCCCAAGGCCCCGAGGACGCCGCCGGCCTCCCCGAGCCCAGAGGGGCCACAGGACAAGCAGGGGCACCCCACGAGGAGCCCGAATACACCACGGGCTGACACCCTCCACCCTCTCCCTCTCTTTCATCCCCTCTTGCCTCAGCCCATTTGCCTCTGCTGACACTTCTGCCAACTACCAGATGAACACTTTCAGCCCTTGCTCCCAAATGCATTCCTCCCCATCTTCTAATTATTTTTGCGCCCCTTAATTTAAGGACGCTCTTAGTTGATGCTTCGCTCAGATTTGAAATGCAGGCACAGAAGAGCTGAATGAAGGGGGAGTCTTAATTCCCCACCCCGGGACACAAGGCCCACATAGCCCCAAGCTCGTTGGGCTTTTCTTTTCCTTTGGCTGCCACAGATCATTTACAAGTCTGGGTGTGTTTTGCCGTCTTCCTCCATCCCCGAGTCTCTTCACAGCTGAGGTTTTTCAGCCCTCATGGCTCTAAAAAGACGTAACCAACTCCTATGTATCCAAAACTCCTTGCTCTCCCTGCCCTGCTCCTCCTGCTGCATCACCTGGACGTTGAGTGGAATGAAGGACACCAGGCTGTAGTCCTCAATCACCTCCACCAGCTTCTCGTTGAGGCGGCGGTAATTTAGACATAACCAGCTCCTACGTATCCAACACTCCTTGGTCTCCCTGCCCTGCTCCTCCTGCTGCATCACCTGGACGTTGAGAGGAACGAAGGACACCAGGCTGTAGTCCTCAATCACCTCCACCAGCTTCTCGTTGAGGCGGCGGTAATTTCTGAAGAAGGGGTCCGAAGCTAAATGGTCAAGCAAGTAAGAGAGGTCCAGGACCTCTGTGTAATAATCCAGGTTGAAAGCTGCAGGGAAACACCAAGAAGCTCTGAAGGCAATTTGTAAATTGAAGAACCCAAGGAGATTTACACCAGCTCCCCCACCATCTCCCAGCAACACATCCCCGTACCCAAACAGGTGATTTCCACCTGATGCAGCCCAATTTTGCCTCCCCCTTGCAAAAGCTCTTACCCAACTTGCCGTATTGCTCGATGAGGTCCATCTTGGAGAGGATGTTGACGTGGGGCAGTTCCACGTGCAGCATGGTGGAGAGGGAGGTGCAGAGAACAGAGATGAACTTGCCAGGGTCCGTGCAGTAGTGAGAATCTACCAGATGCACCGCAGCCAGCTGGACAGCAAAGGGACAGCACAGGGACAAAGGGACAGCACAAGGTCAGAGCCACACCAGGTCCATCCCCTCGCTTTTGGGACACTCTGAGAAGTGGCTATGGGATAATATGTTCAGACCTGGCTATAACCACATGGAGTCCCCCCAAAGGGCAAGTTACCACCTACTTTCTAGCTCCTGCACCTAAAACATCCTCATATATGAGAGCACTTAGATATAGAGAAGTATTTATCATCACATTCACAGCTGTGGACCACCTGGGGGATGCAGGACGCAGGGTGGTGGTGCACAGAGGTGGCTGTGGAGAGGCTTAGAGGGGTGCTGAGCTCCACCAGACACTTCAACCTGCAACTGCTCCCCCTTTTCTCAGGGTTTGTTTCTTTGCAGATGAAGTTTCCACGCTGTAGGTTTGGGGTTTTTTTGGAGAGTGGGAGCTGGGGTTAACTCTCCTTCTGAAGGACACGTCTCCAGATTCTCCACCTTCCCCACAGGAATGCTCCCGCGCGGCGGACGCTCAGGAGCAGTAACTGTAGCACACCAGGCTGGGCCGGGAAAGCCAATTGTCATGTGGTTTGACATAATAATTAATAATTAAATTAACGAGCAGTTTGGACTCCCTGTGTTTTGTGCAGCTGTTAACACTGTGGTCCGAGACCTCTGTTAAGTCCCTGCCTGCAACTCAGTGTTACTCAGAGTGCGGCTGAGTCACAGCGACGCTGATGCAGCCAAGAAAAAAAAAAAAGCAAGTTTAAAGCTCATGGGCAGGTGTAAGCACTTGGGTGAGCATCAAAACAGCCGTGTAACCATCTTTTTTTTTTTTAGTAACGACAGTTTCACCTAGGTTTATTTGAATAAAAAGAATTGTCACTGGGAATCTCAGCACTGGAATCCTCAAGCAAATGAACCTGCCCTTCTCGCTCACACCGGCCCAGGGTTTGCACATTCATGGTTTGGCCCAAATGCAAAATAAATGCAACGTCAGCGAGTTCGCCTGGTGACGGGACTCTTCTCACCTGTGCTTCCCTCATTTGCATCTTCCATTGTGCAAGGGAGCACGGAGCACGTCCGACAACGTGCAGGGCGATTCGGGCTGGCCGTGGGGGAGCCAGGCAGGGCCTGGGATGAGGCCTGAGCTTGTCACAGAGCTCCACAAAGGGTCCTTGCTCTCCCAGCACAGGGATCTATCTCCCTGCTAGAAAACACAGCACCCACTTGGATAAAACCCACAGGGTGTGTGGACAGGACCCTGGAGCACTGAGAGAGGAATCAGGGAATTGTCAGAGTTGGAAGGGACTTCTAGAGATCATCTGGAATCCATGTTTCCTCTCAGGATAATCCCACTGCACTAAATCCCCTGAACAAGCCATTCTTTTGCCAGTCCCTCCAAGCATAAAACGAGGCAAAATTCCCCTCCTTCCCCGATAAAATAATTTGTGCCCACAATCCCAGGCTCTGACCATGCGGCATAAAAGCTTCCGAGCCCCTTGCACAAGCACGTGGGGTGCCAGGCACTGCTCCCTGGCACAGGGTGTCCACCATCACAGCTCCCTGAGGAGCCCAAACAGAATCACAGAATCTTCTAGGTTGGAAGGGACCTTAAAGATCATCTTGTCCAACCGTCAACCTCACTGACAAAAACAGACACCCACACAACAAACAAGGAGCATCATCACTAAACCAGACCTCCCAGCACTACATCAACCCCTCTTTTGAACACCTCCAGGGATGGTGCCTCAACCACCTCCCTGGGCAGCCCATTCCAATGCCTGAGAACCCTTTCAGTGAAAAAATTTTTCCTAACCTACCCTGAAATTCCACTTGGCCAACTGCGCGAAGACGTTCTTGAGGGCATCGTGGTGGGTGTAGAGCTCCACCTGCCCCGGGCAGTCAAACAAGTAGTAGTGACCCCTGAACGCAGCCAGCTTCTCCTGCAGCCAGTCGAAGTTGGCCTCCAGGTACTCCATGCAGTAGATCAACCCCCCGTTGGGTCCCAGCTTGAGGTTCTCCATCACGTCGGGCAGGGTGATGAGCTCGGCGATGTCCACGGCGCACTGGTAGGGCATGGCCTCGTTGGCAGGGTCCAGGTTCACCACCGTCACCTTGCGCCCGATCCTGCCCATGAACTCCTGCATGCCATGGCAGTAGGTCGTCTTCCCGGAGCCCGGAGGCCCGATCACCACCTGGCCAAAGGCCAACGAGCTCCCCTTGCTGCCCTCAGACATGTCGCCTCATTTCCTTCCCCTTCTGTTGACTGAGAAAGGAAAAGCTCCTGTTTAACATTTTACTTGCATTTATACGAATGCGATGGGCTGGAATTCACACCCAGAGAGCAGGTGGGATCATAGAATGGTTAGAGTTGGAACGTTTACCGTTTTACTCGTGTTTCTACGAACGCGATGGGCTGGAATTCACACCCGGGAAGCGGGTGGGATCATAGAATGGTTAGAGTTGGAAGGGACCTTAAAGATCATCAAGTTCCAACCCCCTTGTCCCCAGCAGGGACACCTCCCACCAGCCCACGGGTGCTGGTTAACCCAAGGGTAAGGGCACTTGGTGGGATGCTACTAAGCGTTTGAGGTCATCTCAGCGGTGGTAAAGAGCAGGATGTCCACACTGCCTTGTGCAGTTCTCTGCTGGCCACTTATAGACTAATGGAGTGGTTAGAGTTGGAAGGGATCTTAAAGACAGAGTTGGAAGTGATCTTAAAGATCATCCAGTGCCACCCCCTCAGGGACACCTCCCACCAGCCCAGGTTGCTCCAAGCCCCCTCCAACCTGGCCTTGAACCCCTCCAGGGATGGGGCAGCCACAGCTTCTCTGGGCAACCTGGGCCAGGCTCTCACCACCCTCACACCAAAGAATTTCTTCCTAATATCTAATCTAAATCTCCCCTCTTCCAATTCAAAACCGTTCCCCCTTGTCCTGTCACTGCATTTCCTGACCAAGAGTCCCTCCCCAGCTCTCCTGGAGCCCCCTTCAGATACTGGAAGGCTGCGATGAGGTCTCCCCGGAGCCTTCTCTTCTCCAGGTAAGGAGAGGAAGGGAAAGCCCCCTTGTGCTGCCTCCTGTCCCTCCTTGCCCAGTGAGCCCCGTGTCGGAGCAGATGTGACCCTGTTACCCCCCAACTGGTGCTGCTGTGGCTGGAAACAGGGGGCAAACCCCCACCCAGACCCATGGGGCTGTGCCTGCAGGACTCAGGTCCCTACTCCTGCCCACGTGTGGGGTGAGTTTCCACAGTACCCACACATTCCCTCCCTTGCCCCAGCACGTCCCCGTGTCCTCCCCTCCATTTCTCCATATCCCTCTTCTCCTTCATGTCCCCTCTCCTCCCCGTGTAACCCCACACTCCCATTTGTCACATATCCTCCCTTCTCCCCATGCCGGCCTGTGTCCCCTCTCCCACCTGCTCCTCCATATCCCTTCTCCCCACACATCCCACGTCTCCCGCGCTGTGTCCCCTCTGCCTTCATGTTCCATATCCCCTCTTTGCCTGCACCTCCTTTTCTCCCCCCATATCCCTCCCTCATCCCCCCCTTGTTCCCTCTTCTTCCCCATGTCCCTATTTGCCTACACCCCCTCTTCTCCCCCTATCCCCCCTTGCTCCCCATAT